CCAACATGATCAAGGGCTGGGAGGACTTCTTCCCCGGCTTACAGAAAACCACTTTCTTACTGACCAGATTCACTTTGCCTGAAACGCAACAAGTCAAAAATGCTAAGACACTGACTTTTGTGTGTTCTTTTGGTCTTATCCTCAGCACAAAGAAAGGCCATGTCATCCTGGAGGATGTATTAGGGTCCCGGCTTCTTTTGAAACAAAGCCCAGTAGGTTTTCTCTCTGCTCAGCCATCTTCTACTGCCAGCACTCCTGTTTCCACCCCGACCCCACACCCACTTCCAGACAGGGGTGGAGCTGACTGTGAGAAGGAGCTAGGAGCATGAGACATGAGACCTGTGGTGTTTCACTGTGGGTTTTGAGGTCACAGAGCAGACATGCCTCAGCAGTAAGCTTGCACACGTTGAGAACTATACTCCTTCTCATTTGAGCCTTTACAGATACTCAGTAAGACAAACTTGGGGCACTCCCAATTTATAATTGAGGAGATGTAAATTCATGGATATTAAGTGACTGGTCAAAGATCACACATTACTGAATATCAGGGATGAAATTTAAACACCATTCTTTTGATTCTAAACCTATTATACTTGTCTCTATGCTTCATGACCATCAATTTCTAAAAGCCCTCTGCTATTCTCTAGTTCAATCGTATTCTCTCATAAGGCAGGAGGGATGCTCCAGTGCAAAGCTATTTAAACTACTCTTCCCTCCCTCCCCTAATTTATTGTCACAAAACTGATTTGCTCAAGAAAGATTCCTTGACTGCTTATACTAAGTGCTAGGGAAAAGCAAGCCAACTGATTAAAACCTCTGCCCTCATGAAGCTTACAACCTATTGGAAGGTGACAGATAATAAACAAATAAATGAGTAAAGCAGATAGCATGCTAGAGAATGATGGACGCAAGGGAGAAAAGTGAAGCGGAAGAGGGAGAGAGAAAGGGTTTGCTGAGGAAAAGGCTTACATGGCTGCCTTCAGGAAGAACATTCTAGTCAGAGAGAAGAGTTAAGTGCCAAGGTTTTGTGGTGGAAATCTTTCTGAATGCTGGTAAAACAGCAAGAAAAGGGTAGTGTGGCTGGCAGAGTATAAACAGGAGAAAGAGCAGTAGAAGGTGATTTCAGAGTATCAGGGAGCCCAGGCATGAAGGGCCATAAAGCCCATGTAAAGACTTTGGCTTCTTCTCTAAATAAGATGGGAAGCACTTGGAGATTTTGTGCAGAAGAATGGCAAGACCTGTCTTGACCTATATTTCAAGAGAGATATGAGAATAGTCTAAAAGGGGAAGAAAGCAGAAGCAGGGAGATACTGGAAAGCTGTGTCTACATATACACCGCCATGTGTAAAAGAGCCAGCTAGTGGGAAGCTGTGGTACAGCACAGGCAAGCAGCTCAGTGCCCGGGGAGGGCGGGATGTGGGGAGAGGGGCTGGGAGGGGGGCTCAAGAGGCCGGGGACGTGCGTATACTTGCGGCTGAGTCACATCGTGGCGCAACAGAAACCAACACAACAAAGCAGCTGTCCTCCAATTAAGATAAATCTCAAATTCTTTAAATTTACAATAAATTTTAAGAAAGAGAAAAAAGCTATTAATATGTCAACAGTCTATGAGAGCAAGAATGAAACGTTGGGCCAGGTGGCAGGATCAGAGGTGAGAGTCAGAGTCTGAGTGTACTGACAGAGCGGAGAGGAATGTGCTGACAAACAGGACATCGCTGGATGAAAGTATTAGTGCAGGGAACAGAGGGGGCACTGGGCAGGAAGTCCGGGATTCTGAGTTGGAGTTTTAGTCCCACCTTATGTCCATAGGGCCACAAAGAACTGGACGTGATTTAGTGACTAAACAATAGTAACATGTTTTCACTGTTACCCAAAGAAAGTCACTGAAAAACTTAGCGCCTCATTTTTCACACTTAGAAAAATGGGCTTGAAAACCTTCCCCACCTCACAAGGTTCAAATGTATATGACGTCTATGCAAGAGCTGGCTTGCTTACAACTGAATCACAGTGCTGAGTGACCTTGTCCAAGTTCATTAGCCTACATGACTGTGGTGGGGAGACTGAAGTCAAATCTGGAGCATTTTGAGAGCAAATGAAAAAAAATTACAGTTGCCAGGAATCACTTTAGGAAGCTTTATTTCTGGAAATTTAAATCTCTTTCTCACTGAGCTAAATAACCACAGAAGAAAGTTGGTCCAAGAAAACTCTTTTAAACAAAGCCTCATAGTCCCTGGCCATCATGTGGATGCTGTAGTTTTGTGTTGTTTGAACTTGTATGTTTGAAATGTTACTTAGTTAGTGGTTAAAAAGTTCCAACCCCTCCCCCCACATTCTCATCTTGAGTTTTAGTTCTATTTAAGCACAGAAAACTTCTTTTACTTTCCCTTATCTCTGAGCTCATTTACCATCACCCTGGAAAGTTTATAAATTTTTACTGCCAATAAAATTTTGTGACTGAGTTATTCTAAGTGACTCAAATGTTTGCAACTTCCACAACCTTGATAAATAGACAAAGCCCAAACTGTCTTCTTCTAATTCACAATTTCGGAAAAAGCTCTCCTAATGGAAAGGGTCAGGATGAGTTAAGGGGGAACTGGTGAGCCCCTCCCAGGAGCACGAGGACAGCACTCACAGGGAAGCACTGGTTCTCCCCTCGGATCTGCCTTCTCAGAATCAGGCACTCTGAGCTGTGCCTTCCACTGCCTCTCTCCACTCTCTATGACCCTCCCAAGTCTGTCCCGTCAAAGTCTACCAATTCTAAGTCCAAGCCTCTCAATATCCTCCAAGGTAACTGATTAGCCATTTAATACATCAATTTAATTATTAGGAAGAAGGGTTAGACCAAGGCTTCTCTGCAGGGGAATTCCCAGAAAGGTAATGGCCTAAATAAAATTATGCTGGAATGCTTAGGCACTATGAAGATAGCTATTTCATAAAGGAGTGCCTTTGGGCACTCACGAAATCTCATAAGATGGTCTCCTTCTTTGCCTATTCTTTAAGTGAGCAGTCCTTAAAAGTGCCCTTGAGACCATTTCAGGGGCTCCACAAAGTCAAAACTACTGTCATAATCACACCAATTCCTTATTCTTTATTCTCTTACAAATGTGTTGAGGAGCTTTCCAGAAGTTATCTGATATATAACGTTACTATCACTCTGATGACCCCATGAAATGTATGCTTGTAGGTTTTTGTTTTAAAAATGTATTAGTTTTAATATCAAACATGGTAAATATCAACAGACATAATTTGCTATATCAGAAAGCTCTTTGGGTTCTCAATGATGTTTTTACATGTGTAAAGGGGCCCTGAGACCTTTAAATGTTTGGAGCTACTACTTTAAGTTACATGATCTGATCTGACAACTGAGATGCCAGAAATATAGCTAAATCAGAAGCAAGATATTAAGTCCTACTAAATTCAAAGCTGTGCAAGCTAATTCATTTGAAAAGGTTAGTATCTAAAAGCAAAGTCAAAACAGCATATATAAGGAAGTGCTCCAAAACTGACAGGGTCATATCACCAACATGAAGGAGCTCTCACTGGTCAGAGAAGGACATCTGACTTGTGATGTTGTGAGAAATCAGAAATGTCAACAGCATCTTTTAGAAGACTAAGAGAGAGAGGGGAGGGCTTCACACACAGAGGGAAAATATAAGTATTATCATTAATGTCCACATTTTCCACATTCCCCAAGAGAATATCATGAGCCAAATAGTTAGAGTAGACACTTTTAATTATTTAGTATATTAATACAAATATATGAAATAATACATAATTAAATAACATACAAAAAGCTTACTAAATATATAAATATTCAATACAACAATAAAGACAACTTAAGTTTTAGCTCCTAGGTCACTGGATACAGACAAGAAAGCATAAGATACTGAAAAAGTCACCAGCTTGGTCCAATGATGATTTAAGAGTTCAAAACTGTTCCACTAGTTAGAACAATATGTTTACAACAAAGGAATTTGTACAGCCATACATGCTTCCTCTGCTATTGTGACAAGTTACCTCATGAGAAAAAAGTTGGGGGAGGCAAAGCATTTGTATTAACTGACTGCTATTCAGAAAACTTTCTAAACACCTCTTTTCATAATATATTTCATTACACTAGGTTGAATTTAGAATGATTAAAATAGGACTGGGTCATATTATGAGACAAATGGATGAGAAATGCATGCTTTTTAAAAAATGCAAGCTGCTGTCTAAGACTAACAATATTTAGTCTGCTATAAAAACAGATAAGCAAAGTTAAGGTTGCCAATGTTACTTCACAATAAATTCAGTTCCACTTCCATTGTGGTAAACATCATAGAAGTACATGAAGAAGAGCAGTGAAACTGAGACTTCTAGAAAGACCAGTTAATAGCAAAAACAGTAAGCAGGCAGTGGACAAGATACCCAGCGATGAGGAGATAGACTTATGGACCAAAGAAGAAGGGAAGAAGAAATGGCATATCCACAGAAAGGCAAAAGGCAGTCTCAGAAAAGTTCTTTGGTCCCTACCTTCCTGTATTCTTCTCTCTTTCATTTCTTTTATCTTTATTTATCCTTTTTTTTTTTTCCTGGAATTACATCTGTTTTTAGAGCAGAATGGCAAATTATTCAGTCCAACTTCTTAACTTTCTGGATGCGAACGTGAAAGCTCAATGAGATGTGGTTAACACGGAGTTGCCACCAGTTGGAGGCAAAGTCAACCTCCGAGCGGTGCCTCCCGGCCCCAAGTCCAGTATCCTTTCGACAGCACAACACTGCATCATTTTGCAAAACCAAGTCCTACGACAGACCTGAGAGGTAAAATAACTTCCTCTGGGAACTCACAGAAGCACTGGGTGGCCTACGTGGCAGTAGAAAGTCTTGAAATTCTTAGGCCTTTGACTCCCATTTTTTTGCTCTTTTAGGTTCCTTGGAGAATGACCCTCTTTCTTCGGCTTGCCTCCTGAGTCAGATTCAAGTAGACCAGGAAATAACTTTCAGGGTTCTGTGTGACTCCTCTAGGGCTCTGGGTAAAAGAAAGATCAAGATACGAACTTTGAACATCTATAATTTCTATTCTAATAGATTTTCAGCAGATAGATAATAGAAGGATCAATAAACACAGAATTCTCCAGTGCATATTTCATTAGCAAAGAGAAGGAAGTAGATACCACTGACCCAGTGTGCTGAGAGGCACTGTGCCTCTCTTTAAAAGGATATGAGTAGTTCTAGGAAATAATAGCTTACTATTCTTAAGCAAGATTATACTTGCTTAATAATACATATAAGACTACAAGTAAAAGAACAGGCTCAAGAATTCCAAATGATACACAAGTATTGTATTTATAAGACCTTGAGCTTTGTTTCCTATGGATACTCACTTATTGGACATCAAGGTAGGTATGGTCACAAACTAGACAGATGGAGGCCCTTATAAGACTATTAGCTTTCTAGCCCTTAAACTGGGAGAATGTGGGCCTCCCTACAAGGCAGGTAAACAGTGAAGTAAAAGATCTGGGATTTTATCTTGGCTCCAAATCTCACTCTCTGTGTAATCTTAAGTAATTCTTCACCAGAACCTGAAGTTTTGCATGTTTTAACTGTGTCAACATTTCTAATACCAGTGATTTGTTCCATGGTGAAAGACACAGAACAGCTCAGGCAAGAATGCCCAGACTTGCAGGTTTGTTAACCACCTACTTTATGACTGGATTGTGTTATGACATTTTGATATGATGGGTGGCATTGATACTGATTCAAGGGTAAAATTTTACAGACAGATAGCCTTGGGATGCAAGATTTCTCTCAGCAGTTCTAACCTAGGTTATTCAATAATAACTGCTTTACACTTTTCTCATTTAAAGCATCCCTTCTTCTGCTTGAAACCAGATTACACTGGAACGGGCTGAGAGTTACCACTCAGCCAGCCTTCAGCTGGGAAGCTTAAGTACCATTGCTAGTAAAGCAAAGATTTTAATTTTTTTTGGAAACATATATCTTTTATATTATTCTTCTAATTAATCTCCAATTTCAGCATCACCAATTGTTTAACGAGCACCGCTGTTATTTGACAAGAGCCCTAAGTTTAAAATAAGAGAAACTGACTTGATTCTACCCAGGATGCAGTGTTTCACCAACATTGCCATTACCGCCATTGCAGAGGACTCATGAAGGCTGGGTTATTGTGAAGCGAAGTGGGGAAATCAAGGAGATTATATAGGTAATGTGAGTTTAAATAAATCACTTTCACCTGACATAGATATTTTGAAGAGAAATGAAGTTTGGAATATGCATTTCACATGATTGTCTAAGTCTTCCATTGGTTTCCAATTCAACCGTGACCCAATCAATAGAAGACTGCTACTCAGAAAAAAAGTTTTCTAAAAATTAGGTGACTATCTATGCCCCAAAGGGAAGTTGTTTCTGAGAAGCTTGTAATCATTGGTGGTTTGGCTAATGAAAAATAAAAGATTATTCTTAACCTCAAATTTAATGTTTTTGTAGTATATGTAACCGGCAAATTTATGACATCAACTGGGTTTTAATAGGAAAAAACTATCTAGAAATTTCCCTGGGAAATTTTAATTTCTTTTCACTTTCTATTTAGTAATAGAGTATTGATTCATAAAAGAAAAAAAAAGTTATTTGAAAACCTATTAATCTATTATCATACTGTTGTAGTCTCACGAGAAGTAACGATGAGCTCTCTAGAAATGGTGCAAAGAGAAACTGCCTCTAACTCATCACACCTTCATCAGAGAACAGCTTTACTGTTGAAAAAAACCAACATAACACTCTCTGGCATTACATCAAATCCTAAGAAAAGGGGCCTGACTTCTCTATGAAAATAACATCTGTCATTAGAGATTATCCCTCTGTCTACAACCTATAAATTTGCTTATGTTTTTGTGAGCAATAAATCAGTGATTTTAATTTACAATAAATAATTTTGGTCATTTATCTAACAAAGATTTGACAGACTTTTCTTACCAGATTTGTCTTACTACTGGCAGCTCCATGGAGATGATTCTTTGTCTACTCATATTCAATAAGCACAAAAACTAATTCACCTCTACTTTTTCTTTCCCCACAAACTGATCTCACACACACACACACACACACACACACACACACACACACACTCACTCTCAGTTCCCCCTCTCCACCTCCATTTCTGTTCACATGACCATTTTTTCAGGTCACTGAGGTCCAAAATCTTGAGGTCATTTTGACTGATCATGTTTCCCTGCCCATCCAAAAGTTTTATGTTTCAGAAGATAATAGAAAAAGAGAGGAGAAAAAAACACAAAGCAAGGGTAAAGAAACATATTTTGTAATAACCTAAATGGGAAAAGAATTTGAAAAAGGATATATGTGTAACTGAATCACTTTGTTGCACACCTGACACTAACACAACATTGTAAATCAACTATAATCCAATATAAAATAAAAATTAAAGATGACAAGAAAATGTGGTAGGACTATTCACTTTCTTCACAAATTGACAACCAAAATTTTTTACTTAAAGAAATTTTTAAAAGTCACTATATTTGATGATTTTCTTCCTTTTCTTCCTTTTCTTCCAAATTTTTGGATTACTTAAGTTTTGGTCTTAACAAACCAGTATTTTCTCAGCCTTGAGAGTTTGTCTCCAGCATAGCTGACACTTGATTTTACTAGCTACTTAAGAATATGGGACCAAATAACCTTAAGTTGACTCTCTTCACTTCAGCAACTGAATAAGGCATTGAACAATTATATTTCCCAGAAAATATGAGACTTAATAAACAAAGGACAATTATTTTGCAAATGTCCCTTTCTAGTGAAATTTACCTTGGGCTTGAATGGACTGTATTATGAGATTCTTATTCAAGGGGACATTTTAAAATGAATTTGAACATGTCATACTTTTCTGCTTATACATTTACAGAAATATAGAGCAATACCAGCAAGCACAGACAGAAATAAACACGATTAACAACCGTGCCTTTCAAGTCAGGAAGCCATAACTGGAAGAATATCCCGGCAGAGGTCAGGAGGCCAGGATTCTAATTTTAGGCCTGCTGCTAACTGCGTTAAGGGAAGGAGGTCACCTTCAGTTCCTAACTGGAAAGGCAAAATGTTTGGAAAAAGTGGAGTCAACTGGCCTTCTGCCTTTGACATTTTGCAGAGAGCTAAGGGCTTCCCAGGTGGCTCAGTGGTAAAGAATCCATCTGCCAATGCAGAAGCCTCAGGAGACTGAATTCAATCCCTGATCTCTGGGTTGCAAGATCCCCAGGGGAAAGAAATGGTCATCTATTCCACTATTCTTGACAGGATAATCCCACAGACAGAGGAGCCTGGCAGGCTACAGTCCATGGGGTCGCAAAGAGTCAGACAGAGCTGATGACATCACAAGGAGCTCTATGGGCTTAAATTTATGTGCAGTAAGATTATCTGATTTGCAATCTCCTGTCCCCTACAGAACAAATCCTTTTATCCACATCTGCAAAAGGTCACTGATGCTGGTGGTTTGCTGTTTTCCTTACAAAATCACAAGAATTCATCTAGTGTTTATATAAGGTTTATGCAAAATTAAATGTTCAAAAAGCTTAGAACATGAAAGATATTAATCTATGAGACATAAAAAGATGAAAAAAGGTAGCACGTGAGTGATACTTTTAATAGAAATGTAAAATAACACTCAAAGTGAACATTTTTCCTCCCCTTTCTGTCAGTCATGTGAGCTGGAGAAAACTCCCACAGCATTGCTTCATCCTAGAAAATTCCCACTACATACAACATAAACTGCACATTTTCATTAGCTTTAATAAATTATGCAGTGTCTTCAGAAACCAAAGAAATTTAATTCTTCCCCTCTGGCTGACTCCTCTTGTTTGATAGTGTCTCTTGTTTTATATTCTTTCACAATGTTTAGACGCAGCATCTACGAGGTACTGAATTTGCAGTTTAAAAAGTGGAATTGAAAAAAATCTGTTTGAAAAATCTACCCTTCCATTCAGTCATTCATTCTTTTAATGAACATTTAGTGAGTATACATAAGATACTGTGATAGATATTGTAAGAGATGGAAAGAAATTAACAGAGTATAAGGGCAGGACGACATGATGCAATTATCATCCCCTGTGCATTGCCTAGGGTGTCTGAGCCATAGTGAGCATATAACATAGAAAGCACTACTCAGATGGTGATCACATTGGACAAGTTCACAGTCTCTTCAGTGGGATAGCTGTCCTGTTGTTCAGTTGCTCAGTCATGTTTGACTCTTTGTGACCCCCTGGCAGCATACCAGGCTTCCCTATCCTTCACTGTCTCCTGGAATTTGCTCAAACTCATATCCATTGAGTCAGTGATGCCAACCAACCATCTCATCCTCTTTTGTCCCCATCCCTTGCCCTTGATCTTTCCCAGCATCAGGTTCTTTTCCAACGAGCTGACTCTTCACATCAGATGGCCAAAGTATTGGGTCTTCAGCTTCAGCATCAGTCCTTCCAGTGAATATTCAGGGTTGATTTCCTTTAGGATTGCCTTGTTTGATCTCCTTGCAATCCAAGGGCCTCTTAAGTGTTTTCTCCAGCACCACAGTTCGAAAGCATCAGTTCTTTGGTGCTCAGCCTTCTTTATGGTCCACATCTCACATCCATACATGACTACTAGAAAAACCATAACTTTGACTATATATATAGACCTTTGTCAGCAAAGTGATGTCTCTGCTTTTTAATACACAGTCTAGGTTCATCATAGTTTTTCTTCCAAGGAACAAGTGTCTTTTAATTTCATGGTTATCACCCCTTATTTAGGACTTTCCTGGTGGCTCAAATGGTAAAGAATCTGCTTGCAATGCAGGAGACCCAGGTTAAATCCCTGGGTCAGGAAGATGCCCTGGAGAAGGAAATGGCAACCCACTCTAGTATTCGTGCCTGGAGAATCCCATGGGCAAAGGAGCCTAGCAGGCTGTAATTCACAGGGTGACAAAGAGTCAGACATGACTAAGTCCCCATCCCTTATTTATATCTTCATTTGAACCCCGGATTGTCATTAAGCAATAATTTTTTCCTTCTTTTTACTTCCTATGGGACTCACCTCGATCTTGGTTCCGATGACGTTTCCAGTAGAGTAGAATTGAGATTAAGACCAGAAGAATTACCAAGGAGACAATGCTTAACAGCAGTGGAACTGAAAACCAAAAGCCTGTGGATATTGATGGGAGAAAAGGAAAAACTAGTGATAAGTGGAAGCTGTAGAGGTAAAAAGTAATAAAGAAATAGTTGTAATGAGTTTTTACTAGAATTGTACTTTTGATGAAAATTATTCTTAAGTATATAAAGGTCTACATTCATGACCTCATATTATTTTAATAGCATTTAAATAATAATAATAATTAACATGTTTTATGTGGTTACTATGTAGTAAGAGCTTTGAATGTGTTACCTCCTTTAATCCTCAAAATAGCTCAAGAGTTAGGTGTTATTATTGCTATCATCTAACAAATTAAAAAGACAAACAATTGAGGCTCAGAGAAGTTGGGTAAGCCCCAAATCAGTGTAGTAATTGGTAGAACAAGGCTTGGTCAGAGATCTGTTTGCCTTCAAAGCACATAATCTTTGCCATACTGTCCATTAAATTAATATGTTTATTGAGGAATTTTTGGAAGATATAGAAAAATATAAAGGAAAAATAATGAATCTCATGATTCCAACCTCCAGGAATAAACTCATCTCCATATTTTAATTGTGTTCCTTCTAATCAATGTCTTTGTTATTAAACTTCTTTCTAGTAGTCAGTAAATGCAACTTAGCCTACATATCAGTTCCTCAGTGTCACTGTGTAATACAAAGTCAGAAAAAGCACTATCTGATTTGGGCGTCTCCGGCATCTTCTCCATACCTTTATAATGGGATTTGTCATGTCATAATTTAACTGAGCACCTTCAGATTGGTCTCACTAGTGTTAGACACTAGTTAAGAGTTCAGATTTGTCTTCAATAGATCTGGTACTTGACATAATGGTTTAAGTGTGAAAGATTTTTAGTAAATGCTTGCAGAATGAACAAATATTATACAAATGATATAAATGTTATAAATGATAATTTATAACATATATAACATATAATTTTGGGGCACTCTTAGAAAAGAAGACATGTTCCTTTTCAGATTCTTGCTTTTCAGGGAAATTTACCCTTCATCTTGGCGAAATCTGAGGATCTTGTCATAAATGTCCAAATCTAACACCACAAACATCTTGATCAAATTTACTTAAATGTTTACTTTTTAATTAGTTTGCTTTTTCAAGGACCCCAGAAATGACTACAGGACATGTTCATTAGAGACTATCTGGGCTTCCCAGGTGGCGCAGTGGTAAAGAATCTTCCTGCCAATGCAAGAGACATGGGTTTGATCCCTGGATTGGAAAGATCCCCTGTAGTAGGAAATGACAACCTGCGCCAATATTGTTGCCTGGAAAATTTCATGGACAGAGGACCCTGGTGGGCGACAGTCCACGGGGTCACAAGGAGTTGGACATGACTGAGCAACTGAGCACATGAAAATGAGGCATAAACTTTTCTGGGTTCACAGTGTACCCCAAAAAATGCAGCAATATCTTTTTATAGGAGGCTTGTTAACTGACTGCCTCATCCAGAGTTAGTGCTTCAAAACTACGCAGAGAAAGGAAACTATGGCTGTTGTCACTGAAGTGTCTTGCCTCTACGACCACTGCTTTCCTTATTCTCTCTCCCATCATCTTTACCTCTTGTATCAATGAGACCCAGAGATAAGAGTTTAGATGGAAATACAAGACAGCAAAAGAGGTCCTGAGCAGGAGGCAATTTATTTTAAAATGATGTTGGGAAAACTCAGATTGGCTTCTTTCCTAAAAGATCTATTGCCCCTTTCCCTTAGTGTAGATTATGCAGTTTTCGTCCCAGATGTGACTTCTTCCAGGAAAACACTGTAATCCCTCCAGACTGACCTGATGCTCCTTCTCTGCATTCTCAGTCTTCCTAGGTTACACCACAGCTTTCTTTTTTTTTCCCCTTTTATCAGAGAATGGTTTGTTGCAGGGTCAAGCAAGGAGAACAGGTGGCTCCTGCTCAGAAACCCCAAACTCCTACCATAGCTTTCTTATGGAAGCATTTAGCCTGCATTCTTACAACTACCCAGCTCCTTCTTCATTCCTCCCTGGACTAGAAGCTCCCTGTGTCCGGGGACTGAGTCCCTGCCGTCACACTTCTGGCATATACTCAGGAGCACAGCAGAATAAATCGATGGGATGGACCTCAGTAAAAGCATCCCGTGTGGGAGCAACAAACCACGACTGCCAAAGCAATCAAATAGGCTAATGGGACGGACCTCAGTAAGAGCATCCGGTGTGTGAGCAACAAACCACAACTGCCAAAGCAATCAAACAGGCTATACTGGCTTCCTCGACCCTGTTTTTCTTCCCCTACTTATCCCATTCTCTGCCTTATCAGCTTCTTTGCTAAGAGGCCAAGAGGCCCTGCAGAGCATTCACTACCTTGCAGGTGTGTGTCCACAAATGTGACCACAGAAAACCTCTCTTACCTTTGTTCACAGTTTCCCTGTAGTCAGTCACAGTCCCCAGGTGTAGCACCTGGCAGATCACATCCTTCCCCACCTGTCTCTTGGGGTCTTTGATCTGGAGGATGCTGGTGACAGATGTTGTTCCATTGGGGTGTGAGACGATCTCGGTACTGTTCTCAACCCCCGACCCAGAGACCTTCCAGGAGATCATAGGGGCTGGGCGAGCATTGGCAGAGCAAGTGATATTTAGGTGATCTTCAGATAATTTATAGTGAAGGAATACTGTGGGCTGTACTGGGACAAAAAAATGATCTGCCATCAGTCACAAAATCTGGTGTGAGTCCCATACTCTCCTCAGAGAGAAGAGAGAAAAATCTTTACAGAAAGACAGTGGGAACTAGAGAGATAATGTGGCACATCCAATCCAAACTGGGGCCTTCTCTTCCTGTCTAATTCTCTGAACAGCAGGACAGAGACTGGCCTATACAACCCTGTGATAAGAATGATCCTCTATGGAGTTTGTCTCTAAGAGAATTAGCTAGATGGACAGAGGGTACCTTTCCTCCCAAACAGTGCAGAGAATAATTCCTCTTTTCTCTTTTGTGGGTAATGCAGTATCTCTGCCTTCTTCTGGGTGTCCCTCTCAAGCAGCTGGACAACAACTATCAACCAGCGCCTCCACACAGGCGGTCTGCACCCCTCAGAAAACCAGAGCAGCTTCAGAACGGAGAGCCTGTAGGGGGTTGCCACTTAGAAAAAGCCTTTTTCTGTTTGGAACTGGGCCAGTGAATAAGAGGCATGGAGCAGACTTAGAAAGTCCCTGTTTGAAATATCCATACAAGATGCAAATTAGGAATTCAGTTAGTAGTCAGAAAAATCACAGAATGACAGTTGTGAGGACCTTGGAGATCACCTTATGGAGTTAACAGAAAACAAATAGCTTATGAAAAAAGGACATTTTTAGGTCAGCTGTACCCTGTTCCCTTTCAAAAGTCCCTTGACTAATGTGTTCATTTTCCTTGTAATGTACAGTTTATCTCTGCTGAGCAAATGCAAACATCTTTCTATGGTTGGCTTTGGAGCACAAAAGATAATTAAAGGGCAGTGCTAAATAAAAGCTTGTCTGTGTTTAGAAGTTCAAGAGGTAGGTGGGTGGGAGTAGGCTAGAGGAAATGAGCCTACAGGAGGACTGTGGCTCTGTCCAGAGAGCCCAGATTACTAACATCAGTGAGCCCTGGGGGAAGAGAAATAAAAGTAAAGGAGGACCAGTATGGCTGAAATGGCCAGCCTGGCTAGCAGGGTTCTCTGGTGTATCAAAGAATCACTTGGATGAAAGCTATACCTTATGGCTGGAAAGTGTCATTGCGGGGAAAAACTACAGAATTACCAGCTAGAAGACACAGAGGAGTCTGCGTTTCAGGCATACAAATTATTCAAAGATTAATGAGTAAAGAAAGGGAGCAAGAGAGAAAGATGAACAAAAAGGAGAGAGGAAACAGAAATGAGAAAAATATGACACAAGAAGGGAAAGGAAGAAAACGGTGAAAAGAAGGAAATAAGGTGAGAGGGAGTGGGGCGGCGAGGAAAAAGAGCAAAGAGGGAAAAAAGAAGAGGAAGGAAGGGCTGGAGGAGGGAAGAGACACAGAAAAACGGAGACAGAAGGAGACAAAGGGGTGAAAGAGACACAAGAAGAAAAGCCTGATGCCAGATCCTGCAGAGACAACTCATGGGCAAAATAAGTGAAAGAAACAGGTTATCTCGTGTCATCCTCCCTCCCTTGCATTCCTGTTTACTGAGTCTCTCCTTATCCCTCGCCCAATATTCTTGGTGTGTTCAAGCTCTCATTTTAACATTCCTAATAACCCTAAGTTTGACTTTTCCCTTCTAAAACCACCACCAAGTGTGCATCTTCCAAAGCTACCCCTTATTCCTAATTCTCAGTTCTTGATCCCAGCTAAGCATCAGTTAACAGGAAAGGAATCTTGTCAAACTAAGCCTCTTAGATTTTAGAAGAATGCTTATTTTTCAGCTAAATCCCTAGCAGGCATTGGGTATGAAGAACCTCTGCTGCATGGCTGTATCAATTTTGCGAAAGATCCGCTGAAACAAAATGAGAGGGACCCCCATAACTGGCTCCAGCTTAGCCCAATCTGGCTTTGTCCTTAGGTTCAAAAATATGAAAGCTCTTAGGGACCTTAGAGATGATCTATTTCACACTTATGGTGCAGATAAATAAACTCTGGTACACCATGGACAGGACTCTTCTAGGGTCACATGACTCCAAGTGGCAATGCCAGGTCTGAACCATAGCACTGCTTAGGGAGAATTTATCCTCACTGTGGTCCTTAGTATACTCTTGTTGACAATAAGAGTATTCTTCAGGGCAAAGATAACTCCAGGCAAAGATTCAACATAAGTCAATAAACTCTCCAAATAACCATAACCACAGTTACACAATAGACAAGAAAGGTCAAGTGTCGTCCAATGAACCTTTCTGGGGCTAGGATCCTGAAAGACTAGGTACTACTACCACTACATTTCAAACATTCTTCAAAATAACATTTCAAGCTAGAGACAATGTATTCTCAGAGACTCTCACCAAAGAGAGTGAGGCAGGCTATTCCTGAGCTCTTTCCAGAACCAAAGGTATTAAAGAGGCACTTGTAACACGCCTCATCCTCCAAGGTGGTATTCCAAAAGGTAATGGTTGAGTTCATGAGTCCCAGCTGGGTGATGTTTATCTTGTCCTTGTAGGCAGGCTGGACTACAACCCCATGGTTCTCGCTGTAGGTGATCATGTTTTCTGGGCTTACAGCCTTGATTTTTTGCCATGTCACAATCAAAACTTCTTGGGGATGTTGCAGAGAGCATCTTAAAGAAGCAGGTGTGTTCAGCAGTGCTTTTACGTCCTGGGTCACCACTTTATCATGGAATCATAAAAGAACATGTATATTTTATATTTTAATACATACACAAATAAACACTTTTGATAAACGATGCATGTTCAAAGTCAAATTTAGAAAGAAAAATACAAAAAAGAAAACAACATTTACCTACCTTCCTGATGTTGCTAGAGAAATATAAGTTCAAATATGTTTGTTCAGTCTTTTAGAGTAGCAGAGTAGAAAAATAAGAAAGCAAACTCCCAGTGACCAGAATTTACATGAAGAATCCCTGTAGGCTGGAAATTAGGTGAAGTGAGGTTGAAGATGGAAACTGCCAGATAGGATAGAAGTATCACCAAGTGAGTTTATGCCTGGAACAGTAACAGCTAGTAATAAGAAAGGGTCAATGGATAATATGCAGTGATTAGTTTAAGTGAAGAAGTTACAGCAGCCCTATACATTCCACACACACATCTGAAAAGGAAGGGGCAGCAGTAGTGACGTCTGCCATCAGGAAGCAGTGGTAAATATAGGAACATGGACAGAGAGATGTACAGGACAATGCTCCAGGAGGCTGATAGTACCAGAGCGCTTTGACAACCAAATCACAGTCTACACAGTCCCCTATTTCTACTGACTGTAGTACAAAATCTAAGGTATGGCAATAATTTCTTCCCCCTCCAGTGCTGGCTACTCTTATTGATATGATAGATGACTCAATGGGAAATCTCAATACAATGACAAATAGACAAACAGTTGAGTAAGCTAACACAATGATAGAGGAATAATAAACTCTACAAATGAATAAATAAACATTTTTACGTGAACAAATGTTATATCTTAAGTGTGAAAAGGAACCAGCACTGTAAATAGAAGAAACTAGAGATGTATAAAATGAGAAATATAAACTCTTTTCACAATCTGGCTGCCTTAGCAGAATGAGTGTCACTGAAGACTAAATTAGTAAGTAGGAAGACCAGATCATAGAATTCTTCCAGAATTGGAAGCATTAAAAATACAGAAAAGATTAAAGAAATATTGAAAGACTGATATTTCAATATTAGTCCAAGTAAGATTTTTAAAAGGAAAGAAAAGGGGAAATGGAAGACAAAAACACTGTAAGAAACAAAAATGTATTTTTCAAAATGATAAAAGGAGGAATCTGAAATAAGATATATCCCTCATGACCCTTCATGTACCTAGCAACATAACTCTGAAATATATAAAAAGCTAATAGAACTACAAAGGAAAATGCATAAATCCATAATCATAATGGGAGAATTTTTCACTGTTCTTTCAGAATTTTCACTTCCACCTATTAAAAAATAAGAAATAAAATCAAATACAAAGATAGAGAAGACTTTAAAAACAAATATTTATACATGCACATGTAATATGTCCATATGAGCATGTATTTATAAACCTTTACCCAAAAGAAAACATACACACTTTTCAAACCACATGTGAAACATACCCCCAAATTAAACTTGAAGTAGTATACAAAAAAAAAATGACCTTGAACTGGGTTCATAATGCAATAAAATTATAAATTTACATACTCTTATCTCCTTAATTACACCAGAAATCATAACAAAAGTTCTAAATCACTATGAATGACAATAAGAATATCATATATTAAAATCTGCAGAGGCTTATAAAGCAGTTCTCAGAGGGAAATATTTAATCCTAACTTAATGTATTGGGAAACAGGAAAGATTGAAAAATGAATACCTACATACATTCAAAATTCCCACACACCAAAAATTGATAAAAGGAGTGAATTAATAAAGTTAAAAGCACAAATTAATAAAACAGTACAGAAAACACTGACTTAAAACACCAAAATCTGTTTTTTTTAAGACTAATAACACAGATAAAATGACTAGAGTAATTAGAAAAAAAAAATATCTGCTCTACAACATTAAGAATGAGAAGATGGGCATTGCAACAAATACAAACTGGAACCGCCAAGTGTTGCAAAATTCCAATTTCAGTAAGGTGCACTCTTGATAGTTGCAAAAAGTTCTAGGGAAATAGCTGTTGTTAGGATGGGGTTTCCTAAAGTTTGCTGAGTGCAGAGCATAGATTTGAATAAATTGCTGCTGTTAGAATAGCGAGTAAAAAGGGGATCAAAACTAGAGTTTTAACTTCTAGGGCAATTTTTCTCTTTGACTATGCAAGAAATAATTTAATGGAAAGTTTACAATTATTTGCTGCTTATATGAAATTCCATTTAGGGTCCCCCAGTTGGTAAATCCTGTGCTATACATGGTGTGAAGCATCCCTTTTGTACCCCTGTGAAGGCTGATGGCTACAGCGCACATCACATTGTTGTGAAAGTTTCCCAGTTGTATCCAACTCTTTGCAACCCCACAGACTATAAAATTCATGGAATTCTCCAGGCCTGAATACTGGAGTGGGTAGCCTTTTCCTTCTCCAGAGGATCTTCCCAACCCAGGGATTGAACCCAGGTCTCCCACATTGCAGGCGGATTCTTTACCAGCTGAGCCAGCAGGGAAGCCCAAGAATACTGGAGTGGGCAGCCTGTCCCTTCTGCAGCAGATCTTCCCAACCCAGGAATCGAACTGGGGTCTCCTGCATTGCAGGTGGATTCTTTACCAACTGAGCTATCAGGGAAGCCCATAGTACACACCACACAAAAGGTAATAAAAGGCCATCAGTAAGTGAGGTGTGGTCTCCTATAGAACCAAGGAGAAAGGTCTGGCAGAAGTAGGAAATTCAGCAGATAAGCAGACAGCACAGGTGTGTTTTATATAACAGACTGTGTGAACCCATGTAGCTTTCATATTTCACTATTTTTAACATTTTTCTGTAAGAGGGACACACCCAGTTTTAAGGCTTATTGCAAGATAAGCCCTAGAGGGCAAATTCATTCTTACTCCCCCACGCATCCCCATGTCTTCACACACATAAGGAATTATTATTTTAAACATTATTCACTTTGATAGGTGAAAAATGATGTCTTAATTCAGAAAGAATTTTTTTCATGTCTGGTTTTATCTATGAAAAGTTTCTTAATATTAAAGTTTCTGAAAACAAAAATGTGGAAAGCAGAAAGAACCACTCCTAGTCTTCCAAACAAATTGCACGGTTAAATAATTCATGCAGACAAATGGACACAGCACAGACGAGAATGGTCAGAGGTCCACTCCGGAAACCGTGTTTCCTGGATCCCACGCAGGGGAATCGAGTATCTTTACCTTGTGCCCTGCATAACACCAGTGCTGCCAAGAACCAAATCAGTTGGAAGGTAGACAGATGACAGACGAGCCTTCTGAACACCTGAAGACAGAGAGCAAGCACAGAAATGGGCATTTGAATGTGGACAAAGCTAAGGGAGCTTCAATCTAATTGCTGTATCAGGAAAAACTGCAGCTAAAGTTTTAACCACCGGAAGCCTTTGGTTTTGTGGAAGCAGAACCAGGGACTATAAATGGAAGAAATAACAAAGGCTGCTTAGGATGGGATGGGAAAAGCAGCCATGTGGTTCTTTCATTATGGCCATTCCTAGCAATTTGAGGCCATGCTCCCAAAGCCACCATTGTCAAGACTGATGAGAAAACAAACTGCCAAAAATATATCCAGAAAACACAGACTGCAAATGTTGAATAAAATTTACTCCCCAAATAATCCACATCTGTTAATATTAAAAATGTAACTCAGGTGTAACCACTTTGCAGAATATGCCTTGATGCTTGCTGAGGGAGATTTTCCTGCAAATTCTGCACAATTTATGTAAATTGTACCTTTTAAAGCCAGTATTTGGCTTTTTTTCTTCCCCCTTGCTTTATTTTCATGTGTCTGGGCAGAAATCCTTGGCCTTGTAGATTTTTTTTTTTTTTTAACAAATCATTGTGGTATTTAACAGAGTATTACTCTGGGAATCATTTTGCTATAAAATGAAGAGTGGAATGGAGACAGATTACTCTGCAGCAGTCACCATCCTCCTAAACTCCCCACTCCTGGGCCCAGGCACAGAGCAAACTTCTCAGGACACAAACCAATGCTAATCAGTCTCTCTTTGCTCTCCCAGCCAAGGGTCAGAAAAGCTGCTTCCTCCATCACCTTGTATTCGTCCCATCAGCTTTTTCTGGGATGAATGCCTATCCTTGGTCTTTCATCATTTAGGCCTTTAAAACTCAAATGCTTAGGCTCTTGTTATTTCAAAACTTTGGCTTCTGAAACCAGAAGTTTTCTTTGGCATTCTGATTCCACACCATCACGCCACATGGAAATCCAGGTTCTAGTAAAGGCTGTGATGAGGAATGCAAATAGTTTAGCTCTCAGAGTAAAAATCTGTATTTTAGGATAAAAGAAAAAGCAGACACACACCAAAACACAAGATGTGGGAACTGGGAGACAGTAACATTTAAGAAACAGAAGCACAGTGATTGAGGTGAAAAGAATTAGAAAGAAAGCCTTGCTATTAATTAGGCACACATTTCTTCTGGCTAATTTGAATTCAGGTTAGCACAAATACTAGGTGTGTAAGCTTAGACAAATAATTTTGCCTCTTGGAGATACAGGAAAAAATTAATAGTACCAATCTTCTCTGTTAAAAAGGTTAAATGAGATAGTATATGTAAAGCTCCTATAAAGTGATTGATAAAAATAAACACTAAATCAATGTAGCTGTTACCTCATTAGGTTACTGCCTGTATCTCACTATTTGCTGAACCCAGGGTAGGCAAGACGTGAGTGGGGAAGCTGAAAGAAGATACAAAGACCACAGGACTGCAGACATTCCTTATCCTGCGTGCAAGGCAGGCAGGCTTCACTGTCTCATGGCTGGCATGGGAGCAACAGTGACCACGCAACGCAGGGCAGCGCACTTCACCCTGACTCTCCTCCAGCTTTCCAGGTGGTGCTTATACAGGGCCACTGTGATGCGTGAGCGCAGTGCCACAAATGATCCCAGCTTAGGATTTGGGCGGAGTGGGCTGAGAGCCTGATCTCTGCCACCTGGCCAATTGTTCACACAATCTGCGTGCCCATCTTCCACGATATTCCCTTGGCGAGCAACCGCCACAGGGGCAACTCTGCCCCTGAGGATTTTCTCATTTAGGACCCACAAAACTCCCCCACAGGTGCCGGGCCCACCCCTTCAAAGAGGGGATCTTTGGGGGTGCTCACAGCCCACCAACATGATTACACTTTTCTAAATCTGAGGACATAGCCTTTACAGTACACTGTTAGCACATCATAGGACACAGCCTTTACAGGACTCTGTTCTAAATCTACATCAAAAGACATCGCCTTTACAGTATACTGGCCTCTGTCTCAGGGTCATAACCCATATCATCAGCTCATGTAACCACCCATATCTCTTGCTATAGGTGCTTATACTGCTGCTCTGGTCTCAACTGCCCAAGGGGCCTTGCTAGTAACTGGGGACCGGCATCACGGCACTATCCATATTCACCTTCAGGGCAGTCAGGAAAAGTCACCCCCCCCCGGTGTCAGCAGCCGTCCATGCCACCTTGTCCGGCAAATGGGAACTCACCTCCTGTAACACCTTTTCAGTGCTAGCAGGTGAACCATCCACCACTTCCCTGCTGACTTCTTCTGTGGAGCCTCAGGCTCCTCTACCTGCTGCGTATCCTGCCAACTCTACCAGTTGTCTCACTGTATCTCACTGTTCATTGAACCCAGTGTAGGCAAGGCATAAGTACAGAAGCTGGAAGAAGCTGCAAGGAGTCATAGGAATTGCAGACATTCTTTATTCACCACGGCAAGGTAGACATGCTCTACTCTCTAATGGCGGACACAGCAGCAGTCAGCAACATTTGACTCAACTTGACTCTCCTAGAGCTTTTTAGGCGGTGCTTATATAGGACCACACCATGATGTGTGTGTGCAGTACCACAGATGACCCCAGCTGAGGGACGGGAGTAGAGTTGGGTGAGAGAGCCTGACCACCGCCACCTGGCCAATTGCTCTCTCCCTAACGTTACTGAGAATTAATTAAGCATTTAAAGTACTTAATACAGTGCTTAAGATATGGTAAATGCCAGTATGTGTTACATAGCTTAAAAAATTCATTAATCAGATCACACAATAATGGAAGTAGAGAAGTCCACTTATAACCCTTGCCAAGAGGGCCAGAATCCAGAGACCTGGGTCTTACCTGACAGCTGTCCATCTGGCAGCTACACTGCCCCTCCCCTGAAAATCTGTAGGTTCAAATCCTGAAGCTGCCACAGTCATATGGACTTGGAAAAATTTACCTGTCTGCCTGTTTCTTTATTTGTAAAACTGGGTAATAACTCCTTCTTTGAAGGACAGGGGTGAAGATTAAGAGCACCTGGCACTCAGTAAACCCTAGCTGGGAGGCCAGCATTCTTTGTTAAGGAAGGCAATGAAATAACTGGCTGTGTAGTCTAGCCAATAAACCATATGCAAAAAAATTACCTTGAGGCATTACTTGCATTTAGATTTTTTAATTATTATTTTATATCAGTTACTAATGTAAATGAAAATCCTCTCCTTCCTTCATTTTGTCATATACCTAGATCCTGGATAACAAAATGCCTATCTCTCACGGATACCCTGGGTTTTAACTCTGATTTATCCGATCCTTTTGGCTTCCCACGGCAAAGGCCCAGAGGATGCAGAAAGAGGCTGGAGCATCACAGAGGAGCCTGCCTGATCCTGAAATTCTGCAAACCCACCCCAGATTTCAGGACCAAAATGGAGCCAATACAGCACCCTCTATCCACGCAGCCAGGGTCCGCCTCCAGGCCCATTTCCTCTCAAAGGATGTCAGTGATCGGAGAAAGCGTCTCCAGAGCCTGCACCTGGCAGCATCAGTTTACCGCGACAGCTGATCGCAACCCCGGGAATGGAGGTATGGCCTATACACCCCGCTTTGGAAGGCAAGATCCGCTTCTCTGCAAGGTTCATAACTGAGAGGAAAGCGCAAGCAGGAATCCCAGCTCTGAATCAGAGGGGAAACCCGCAGCCTAGCTTCGCAGCCCGCCACCGCCCCGGGGCTACCGGAGAGGAGTCGCCCACCCTGAGCCCTCTTTTCCACGCCTGGCCCAGCTCACCAGACACTGCATCCTCGCTCCTGGCCGCGCAGGTTCTTTGGTTGCTGCTGGGAAGCCTGGAGGGATCTCACACCGGACCAGGGAGAGCCCCTCCAGTTCCGCGGAGCAAAGATGCTTGCTCCCCGCGGATTCGCTGCTAACTCCTCCTCCTCCGCCCCGGCTCAGGCCCCGCCCCCTACTCCTCTACCCGCCTACCCTACCCCGCAACGCAGAGGCGTAAAAGGGGATTAAATAGTACTCATCTGTTCCTGTCTTCAAAGCACTTCGCCGTTTTCAGAGGCTGCAACTGGGAAGACTGACCAAGTGTTTGGAAAAGGATACCTTGTTTCCAGTTTCATTATACAGACAAAGAAAGGGAAAGGAGGAGGTGGGAAGACATGAATTGCCTCACTGCGTGGTGCTTGGAGGAATGGCAGGCTGCATTGTGAACCACGCAAGTTACGAAATGATTTTTGAGAAATGTTACAGTTTCCCCAATTACCATCCTGGAAAATCCAAGTATTTTGAAGCTGAATTTAACCAACAGACAATTTGCAAAGCAAATGTGTATTTATTTTTATCCAGAATCAAATTATATATTTAAACCATCAGTGCTGTTATGATCTCTCCTTTATTGATGTGACTGGATTTTTTTTTTTCCTCTGCTGTGAGAAATTTTCTTCCACTTGCACTGATGATGAGGATATTTCTTATTTCAACAAGTTTTGGAGTTCTTGGCTCTTCAAACAAACAAACAAAAGACAGATCAATGAAGTGTTCCCTATAGCCTTTTCTGTTTTCCCGACCACCAACCCTGACCACCACACCTACGACAAGGTATTGGGACAGAGCTTCTATTATACCCAAGGCTGCAAATTCCAGGGCAGTAAATAAAATAATTACTGATTTTTTTTTCCCAGAAAAACAAACTCTGGAAGGACTAAAATATTCATGGAGTGGCAAACAAGATACATAAGAGAAAGCTGCTGCTGCTGCTGCTAAGTCACGTCAGTCGTGTCCGACTCTGTGCGACCCCACAGACGCCAGCCCACCAGGCTCCCGTCCCTGGGATTCTCCAGGCAAGAACACTGGAGTGGGCTGCCATTTCCTTCTCCAATGCATGGAAGTAAAAAGTGAAAGTGAAGTAGCTCAGTCGTGTCCGACTCCTAGCGACCCCATGGACTGCAGCCTACCAGGCTCTTCCTTCCATGGGATTTTCCAGGCAAGAGTACTGGAGTGGGGTGCCATTGCCTTCTCCTAAGAGAAAGCTAACATATAGCAAAATTAAAGGTCAAATTTAGGAAACTTAAAGGAAACTCTTAAAGCTTCAAATATGACAAATAGAGACACCAAGAAAAAGAATCAAAGTGACTTTAAATGTCACAAAGCACTGCTGGATGCAAGAAGGCAATGAGTTAACTTTCAAAATATGGAAGAAAAAAACTTTGAACTCTACTTTGTCTTTTATAACTACTGCTAAAAGGGTATTATTTTTTTAAATACTTTAAATTTTTTGATTAAATGAGTGGTTCACAGGGTGAAATGCATACATCATCAGTTCAGTTCACTCACTCAGTCATATCTGACTCTTTGAGACCCCATGAATCGCAGCACCCCAGGCCTCCCTGTCCATCATCAACTCCTGGAGTCCCCCCAAACCCAGGTCCATTAGTCGGTGATGCCATCCAGCCATCTCATCCTCTGTCGTCCCCTTCTCCTCCTGCCCCCAATCCCTCCCAGCATCAGGGTCGTTTCCAATGAGTCAACTCTTCATATCAGGTGGCCAAAGTATTGGAGCTTCGGCTTCAACATCAGTCCTTCCAATGAACACCCAGGACTGATCTCCTTTAGGATGGACTGGTTGTATCTCCTTGCAGTCCAAGGGACTCTCAAGAGTCTTCTCCAACACCACAGTTCAAAAGCATCAATTCTTCAGTGCTCAGCTTTCTTCACAGTCCAACTCTCATATCCATACATGACCACTGGAAAAACCATACCTTGACTAGACGGACCTTTGTTGGCAAAGTAATGTCTCTGCTTTTTAATAGGCTATCTAGGTTGGTCATAACTTTCCTTCCAAGGAGTAAGCATCTTTTAATTTCATGGCTGCAATCACCATCTGCAGTGATTTTGGAGCCCCAAAAAATAAAGTCTGACACTGTTTCCACTGTCTTCCCATCTATTTGCCATGAAGTGATGGGACCAGATGCCATGATCTTAGTTTTTTGAATGTTGAGCTTTAAGCCAACTTTTCACTCTCCTCTTTCACTTTTGTCAAGAGGCTCTTTAGTTCTTCTTCACTTTCTGCCATAAGGGTGGTGTCATCTGCATATCTGAGATGATTGATATTTCTCCCAGCAATCTTGATTCCAGCTTGTGCTTCTTCCAGCCCAGCGTTTCTCATGATGTACTCTGCATATAAGTTAAATAAGCAGGGTGACAGTATACAGCCTTGATGTACTCCTTTTCCTATTTGGAACCAGTCTGTTGTTCCATGTCCAGTTCTTACTGTTGCTTCCTGACCTGCATACAGGTTTCTCAAGAGGCAGGTCAGGTGGTCTGGTATTCCCATCTCTTTCAGAATTTTCCACAGTTTATTGTGATCCACACAGTCAAAGGCTTTGGCATAGTCAATAAAGCAGAAATAGATGTTTTTCTGGAACTCTCTTGCTTTTTTGATGATCCAGTGGATGTTGGCAATTTGATCTCTGGTTCCTCTGCCATTTCTAAAACCAGCTTGAACATCTGAAAGTTCACGGTTCACATATTGCTGAAGCCTGGCTTAGAGAATCTTGAGCATTACTTTACTAGCGTGTGAGATGAGTGCAATTGTGTGGTAGTTTGAGCTTTCATTGGCATTGCCTTCCTTTGAGATTGGAATGAAAACTAGCCTTTTCCAGTCCTGTAGCCACTGCTGAGTTTTCCAAATTTGCTAGCATATTGAGTGCAGCACTTTCACAGCATCATCTTTTAGGATTTGAAATAGCTTAACTGGAATTCCATCACCTCCACTAGCTTTGTTCATAGTGATGCTTTCTAAGGCCCACTTGACTTCACATTCCAGGATGTCTGGCTCTAGGTCTGGCCTCATTAATTAGATTTATTTCTATATATTGTACCCTTTCTAGTGAAATTGTAAATAGGATTATGTCCTTAATTTTCTTTCAGTAATTCATTTTTAATGTATAGAAAAGGAACATATTTCTATATATTAATTTTATATACTGAAACTTTACTGAATTCATTAATGAGTTCTAATAGTTTGTTGATAGCATCCTTAGCATTTTCTATGTAGTATCATGTCACCTGCAAACAGTCATAAGTTTCCTACTTCCTTTCCAATCCAGATCTCTTTTTATTTCTTTTCTTATTTGGTTGCTGTGACTAGGACTTCCAATAATGTGTTGAATACCAGTGGCAAGAGTGTTCTTTCTTGTCTTGTTCCTCATCTTATAGAAAATATTTTTAGCTTTTCATCATTAATTATGATGTTAGCTGTGGGTTTGTCATATAAGATGTTTATTATTTGAGGTATATTCCCTCTTTACTCACTTTGTTGAGAGTTTTTATCATAAAGGAATGTTGAATTTTGTAAAAGCTTTTCTGCATCTATGAGATGATCACATGATCTTTATTCTTCAATCTGTTAATGTGATGTATCACATTTGATTGACTTGCAGATATTGTACCATCCTTATCTCCCTGGGATAAATCCCACTTGGTCATGTTATATGATCCTTACAACGTATTGTTGAATTAGTTTGCCCATATTTTGTTGGGGAAATTTGCATCTATGTTCATCAGTGATATCGACCTATAATTTCTTTTTAATGATGCTTTTGTATGCTTCAGGTATCCAAATGATGCTAGCTTCATAAATGGATTTGGAAGCATTTCTTCCTCTGAAATTTTTAAAAAAAATAATTTGAGAAAGATATATGTTATTCTCTGAATGTTTGTTAGAATTCACCTGTGATGCTATCTAGTTCTGGTCTTTCTTTTTTTTGCTGGGATTTTCTTTAATTACTGATTTAATTTCATGACTGGTAAATGGTCTGTTTGTATTTTCAATTTCTTCTTGTTTCAGTCTTAGGAGAGTGTATTGATGTGGTGTCATTTGTAACTTCTCTTTCATTTCTGATTTTATTCATTTTTACCCATCCTGTTTTTCTTGATCAGTCTAATGGTTTAGCAATTTGTTTATCTTTTCAAAGAACCAGCTCTTAGTTTCATTGGTCTTTTCTGTTACTTTTAAAATCTCTATTTCATTTATTTCTACTCTAATCTTTATGATTTCTTTCCTCCTATTAACTTTGGCATTTATTTGTTCTTCTTTTTCTAGTTCCATTAAGTGTAAAGTTAGATTGTTACCTGAGATTTTTTTGCTTCCTGAGGTAGACTTTTATCATGTAAGCTTCCCTTTTAGAACAGATTTTGCTGTCACATATATTTTTGGATTGTGTTTTTTGTCTCCAGGTATTTTTTATTTCTTCTTTAATTTTTCCTGTGATTCATTTGTTGTTTAGTGGCATATTATTCAGCCTCCACATGTTTGTGACTTTTGCAGCTTTTTCTTATAGTTGATTTCTAGTCTCATAGCCTTGTGGATGGAAAAGATGCTTGATAAACTTTCAATCTTCTTAAACTTTCTGAGATTTATTTTGTAGCCTAGCATGTGATCTCTCCTGGAGAATGCTCTATATGTATGTGAAAAGAATGTGTATTCTGCTGCTTTAAATGGAATATTATGTATAGATTTATTAAGTCCAATGTGTTGTTTAAGGCAATTGTTTCCTTGATGTTTTTGTCTGGATAATCTGTTCATTGATATAAATGAAGTGTTTAAGTCCCTTACTATTATTATGTCATTATTATTGTATTATTGCCAATTCCTCCCTTTATGTTTGTTAATATTTGTTTTATATATTTAGGTATTCCTATGTTGAATGTATATGTTTATAATTGTTATATGTTCTTGCTGTTTCATCTCTTTATTATTTTGTAATATCCTTCTTTGTCTCTTATTATATCTT